ATATAAATTATATCATTGATATTAAATTTTTATCCTAAATTTTCATTCTTTTTATTATTACTCAATTATTGATAGATTAATATCCTTAAATTTTATGATAGGACTAATAATTTTAAAATTTATAAATTAGAAAACTAAATAGGAGATTAAGCCTGATATTATGTTGCAATGGAATTTCACACCCAACAAATCACGCGGAAACGCTGAAAAGTCTTCTATGCATTTTTTTTATTGGTACATTGGACGAAAAGTCTTCTATGCTATCCAAATTCCAATAGTAATAGAGAAATTCGGTGTTTATTTATAAACGGGTGAATATTCATCTTTTTTTATTTATTGTATTTTTAATAATAAATTATCAATTTAATTTTATTTAAATATCAATAATATCAATAGAGGGACGCGCATCTTGCCTCTAGTTTTTTTTCCTGGAAAAAGGCGAAGCAGCCAGCTTCTTTCCTCTTTTTTTTTTTTTGGTCTTTTTTTGTTTCTCTATTCTATCTACTATTTTCTTGTATTCTCACCTAGCAAGTAGAATTATCTACCCTTTATTTGGAATTGGAGATCCCGTCCGCAAGGAAAAAGAAAGACAATTATTGAAGACCCCGTTGCCCGCAATTATTGACCCTGAAAAAGCAAAAAAGAGAAGATATGCAATCTCTTATCTCCTGGTTTTTTCCATCTAATTTCATGAGTTTTCTTTTTCTTGGTCATAAATTTTTTTAATTTCATAAAATTTTCTTCGTTTTACTTGGAAGGTCCCATTTGCATTCATTTGGAGGCCCCGTTCCCTGAGGCATCTTTTGTTTTTTTGTTTAAAAAAAAAATCTTTATTTTCCTTGATACTAATCCCAATTATTAAAGTTAAACTCTCTTTTACTGAGGGCAAAACATCGGTACCGCTCACAACTACCATGCGGAATAATAGCCATCTGATGCAGACTCATCCTGATCCACTTCAGGACAAGACTCAAAATTCGCATGATCAGGCCGGCCTAGGTAAAAACTTTTGTTGGGCCCCATTTACCACGAAGCCCCAAACCATTCACATATGGGCTGCTGCTTGGGCTCAGGCCCTTAGGAAAAGTACTAACAGGTGGGGTAATATTCTGCCGCAAGGTACATAACATTGTGTTAGTCCTAGGGATGTCAACGGGCTCCACGGGACTAGGGAGTCCCTCCTCGTGCCTGTTTCTGTTCATGCGAATGATGAAAATAGGGATCCTCGCAAAAATTTTTGATAGAGAATAGATTTTGTCCCCCATCCCCGTTCCCCGCAGGAATTCTATTTCCTACCAATTAATATTAAATTATAATTTTTTTATTTTTTTACATATAATTAATTAATATTTAATTATAATAAATAAAATTTTAAAAATGCAAATACAATTAACTAAAATTTTTAAATATAAAATCAAATATAAATTATCCAAATATAAATTATTCAAATATAAATAAAAATCAATTCAACATAAATAACTAAACCAATAATTAATAAATTTGTTCCAAACATAAACAAAAATTAATTCAAGCTAAACTAAAACATAAGCAAAAATTAAACCAACAATGGAGGGGAAGGTGAAAATAAAAATTGAGAAATGAATTAGGGCTAAAGTTAAATGTAAGTGGGGGAATGAATTGAGTTAATTTTTATGGATTGGGTTGGGTTGGGTTAGGTAAAATTGGGTTAAATTTAATTTTAACTAAATTGAGTTTGAACTTGAGTTTATGTTTGGGTTTGGGTTTGGGTTTGGGTTTGGGTTTATGTTTGAGTTTGAAAGATAAATTAAATTTAAAATAAAATTAATTTATATTTATTTTAATTTTTGCTAGAATGGGGATCCTTGCGGAACCTCATAGGGTAGAAAAAATTCCTCACGAAATTTCGTGGGAGGAAAATACTCTCTATCTCCATCCCGTAAAGAGAAATATTTTTTCCCACCCTGTCCTTATGGCGGGAATTCTCACGGGATCCCGCGGAGATCGAAAAAAATTGTCATCCTAGTTGATCGTAACTTCTCCTTTCATCCCCCGTTACAATTTGGGATGTGCAATTAATGGTTTTGGGTGATTAAGAGAAAGGATTCTGAATTAAAATATTAAAGATGATAATAAAATTTTTTTTTAATAATTTTAATAAATTAATATGTTAAAAAATTATTAAAAATATTTAAATAATTTTGTTTATGTTTTTTAATGTTCTTCATTTTTTTCAAATAAACAAATTTTAAAAATAATGTATATCAATTTTTTTTTTACCAAAGTGACAAGGGTGGGATTCGAACTTCGAACCCACCAGGAGAGAAAGGGCTGCACCTTTAAAGTGGTTCGAAGGGTCAGATGTTAATGTATATCAATTTTGACCATAAAAAAATTAAAGTTTTAACGTTAATTATGAGAGTTCGTAAGCTAACTATTCAAAATTAAACTGAATTTGAGTTAAATTTTCAAAATCTAAGTTCATAACCTTTTATTATCTGATTCATAATTCTTTAATTTTATTACCTAAGCATCCTTGATTCCTTTCATTGAAATACCTTCCAGGGCACTTTCACTATAACGGAATTAATAACAGTGGCTAGTGGTGCTTAGCAGAAGCCTACCATTTTTTAAAATGAGTAAAATTAGAGTAAAATTTGCTATATCATAATTTTAGAGCAAATGTCTAATTTGAAATCTCAGCTTGTCTCCTTTAACATATTTGATAATTTAATTTTTCAATTGCTCAACATGAAAAACCAATGGAGTTTGATGCCCATATTTCTATTTCGATTCCCCATTATCGGTTTGGTTTCAGAAAACTTTAAATTGAATTGGATTTTCTTCCATTTTAGTATTATTGTTTCCTCACTCTTGGGCATTGCCTGCTAATATTTTGCAATGTGGGCTTGAGTAAGTTGGGCCCAGCTCTAAGCTTTTTTCTTTTTGTTGGATTTAAGCTTATAATATGTTTTAATTTCTTATTTTAGTTTTGATTTTTTTTTTTTTTGTAAATGGATAGGATGTAGTTTTTAATAGAATTTATATAATTTTTATTTTTATTTTTTTGCAAAAAAAGAGTTTGAATGCATAATAAACAAAGCTTTTGGACTTGATTGAATATTCTTTGAAAGTTGAGGGACTGTATTGGGAGAAGAAAAGTCACTTTTAGGGATCTAAGTGAATGACTATGAAGTTATAGGACTAAATTGTTCATTATATACAAACTATAGGATCAGATTGATATTTTATCATTAAACAAATTGCAAAGAGATCCAAAAACCCGATAGGGTTTGGTGTCCGACCTTATCTGTTACGTGTCCGACACTATACCATAAGCCTTTGGAAAATAAATGGGCGTAGGATAAAATAAACAAGAGTGTCGACACCCACTTTGTAGTAGCGACACACAAAGCATTTTTAGCTTTGAAAATTTTTATTTTTATTATACGTCCAAGTTTTTCTAATGGGATTTTCTTAAATCTTAGAAGATATTTAGTTAAAATCAGAGTTGGGAGATTTTGCAAATCAAGAAAGAGATGACAATAAGAAATTTAACATAAATAAGTTAAAATTTAAGATTTTTTACCATTAAATTAATTTGATTTGTAGTTAAATTTTATTTTATGAT